AATACGAACGTTTGTTTCTTGAAAATTTGATCACGATTTAAATATAGTATTTACTTTTAATATTACCGATATGTCATCGAAAAGAAAATGCGTTGTATTATCATTAAAAGACAAATTAAAGTATTTGTTTCGATTATCCGGATTTTTCCATATCCGGACTACCTTCATCCCCAATTAGTCCGGATAATGGAGGTTCTACTGTAATAATAAAACTATTATTATTCTTCAAACTAATCTATTTAAAATTCTATAAATTTTTGCACTTGCTCACAGTTGTTAAAATATTTTTAACTCATATTTAATATTTATAATGAAAAATTTTTAATCATCGTTTGAATTAAATGCTGTTAATTTCTCTGACATGAACTTAATATCCCAATAATTACTGACTGTTCATAAAAGTTATATATATAAACTTTACATAATTTATTTATATCTTTGATGTAAGATTTAAAACTAATATACTAAAACAGCTATAGGATTCTATAGTTAACTGATGTATTGATCATCTATTTAACTTCTGTTATAACTATTATTCAGTCAAATTAATTCTAATACTTTTGATTACTCTAGGAAATTTAAAAACTTAAATCAAAGATTCTTAAACTTAAAAAGAGAATATAATTCAATAGATTCAATATTGCAAATTTTTAAAAATCTTGTTACTTCTGAAAATTTTGCATTACTAATGGTTATTCAGAACAATTTTTTGAGTAATACTGAATTCATAACTAAATTTGCAACATAATAGTAAGACCAATGTAACATATTGCAAAGAGATATAACTGACTAATATCACTAAAGAACCTTTACTTCCAATGACAAAACTTTAATACAAGTTTTGTCATCGGAAGTAAAGGTTCTTTAGTGTTATTATTAGTACTGTACCAGTGATTAAGTTAGAAGATATCGTTATAATTGACTAAATTATTATATATAAAAACACACTTTTTCATATGTTTCCAACACTTCTTTATAATGTGGGAATCCGGGGTTAAGAGAGGGTTGTCTCTCACCCATGTTCGGCGTCAGATCCGAAAGATCTGCCCACCATGTCACTGGATGAGATTATAGAAATATCTTAGTTGTGAACAGGAAGTTCTTGTAATCTTCCTGTAGATTTTTCCTGACACCAGCCTAATTAGTGCATTAGTCATGCAAAATAACAATTTTGTACCTTTATGAGAGGGAGGGATCATAGATATGCAATGAGACTTCGGCTAATATTTGAGATCAAGAATGAGACCATTTTAACGCAACAAAACCAAAATTTAATGGAAACAAATTAAAATAAAATACAAATATACAATCTTACATAAAGAAATTCTAAAGTCCCTATCTGGTCACGAGTGAGAGAGAGAGAGTTTACATAAATAAAACATACTACCTCAATAGGAAGGACTGAATCTTTTGTCAATCTTCTTCTGACTATCTGTTAAAGTGAAGCAAAGTGATGCAGTTGTCAGCTTGGATTGGAGGAAGATTTCTCAAGGAAGGAGCACAAAAGAAAAAGGCCAAAACAGCAAAACAGCAAAAAACTCCCCAAATCGTGGAAAATCACCCTTTTTATGCGTAAGTTCCTTCCAATAGAAATTTGGGGTTTGTATCAGCTGATGGGACATACTAATGAGTTAGCCATCCAGATGTTTGTCAAAATTAGAAATAAGCTCTTGTGAAGAGAAGTTCAATTTCCCTTTTTGGCATAATGTGTCGCCTGTTGATGGGAAAAATATGTGAAAGTAATGTACATGTTATTACTTTAACCAAATTATTATTTGGAAGGAGAAAGTTCTTATAATAATCTACGAGTGAGGAATAGTTTGGATTAAGGTTCAAATTAGAGCTGTTTTCTAGAGTTACTAAAACCTTCATTCTATTAATCAATTTTATAACTCTGTTAGAATTCTCATATCAGTTCTAATGAATGTAATAATTCCAGCTTAGGGTAGAGGATTTAGTTTGAAGTATAAAGTCACTGGCCAAGGAAACACAATGTAACTCCTTCTAATTGGAATGGCATCTAATCTGAAGAAGGCCTGTAAATCAAGCTGAAAACATTCAGTAGAACTATGAAGAAGTGCTGGAAATGTGTGAAAAGGTGTTTTTTTTTATATATAATGATACCCCGAACTTACGCGATAGGTGGGACCGAGCGATAACCGCGTAAGTCGGGGTATAATTTCTTAATTTGTGTAATATTTATTATATGTTCTTTTACATTTCAATGAATAACTTTATTTAAATTTATAAATCTAAAATTACAACATAAGAAATTTAAATAACCTCAAAAAAAATTGAATTGTTTCATTTTGGAACACAACTAACTCCTTCTAATTGGAATGGCATCTAACCTGAAGAAGGCCTGTAAATCAAGCCAAAAATGTTCCTTAGAACTGTAAAGAAGTGCTGGAAATGTATGAAAAGCTGTGTTTTTACATATAATGTAAAAATTCCAGCTTAAAGTAGAAGATTTTGTTTGAAATATTATACAATTATTAAATATTTTTTAAATAATTTTTTCTTTTCAATTAAAGATAATTTTAATACTATTCTTCAGTTAGATTTAATATTCATTTTAATATATATATACACTGTGTACAACCATGTACTGTTTCTATAATTTTTAATAAAAACAATTTGTAATTTTCATAACATGTTCTCTATTTCTAAACTATTTAATTTCTTGTAGTTAGTACACCTATAAATTAAAAACTGTTACATATTTTTCTCTATAATTAAACTGATTTTGTACTGATTAATCTTATCTACAAAAAAGTATTTTTTCATTACTACTTGTAATAAGATTTTCAACTTCTAAATGTTAATTAAGAAGGCAGAGAGATTTAAATCTATTTTTACAATCATGATCTTTATAAGCCATTAATTATCATTATCTGTAAATCTTCTTACACGTTTCTGTCTTATTTAATTTTAGTGATATGATATATATAAAAAAACTGAAAAAGAAAAAATTTCTCACAGATAGCCAAACAAAGTATGTATTATGTTGTTATTAATACTTATTCAAAATTTACATTTTAAATTTAATAAAATTATTATATTGTATAACAAAATGATTAAGAAAATTATATACAAATCAAATAAAAAAAATATATATATATTTTTNTTTATGAGAGGGAGGGATCATAGATATGCAATGAGACTTCGGCTAATATTTGAGATCAAGAATGAGACCATTTTAACGCAACAAAACCAAAATTTAATGGAAACAAATTAAAATAAAATACAAATATACAATCTTACATAAAGAAATTCTAAAGTCCCTATCTGGTCACGAGTGAGAGAGAGAGAGTTTACATAAATAAAACATACTACCTCAATAGGAAGGACTGAATCTTTTGTCAATCTTCTTCTGACTATCTGTTAAAGTGAAGCAAAGTGATGCAGTTGTCAGCTTGGATTGGAGGAAGATTTCTCAAGGAAGGAGCACAAAAGAAAAAGGCCAAAACAGCAAAACAGCAAAAAACTCCCCAAATCGTGGAAAATCATCCTTTTTATGCGTAAGTTCCTTCCAATAGAAATTTGGGGTTTGTATCAGCTGATGGGACATACTAATGAGTTAGCCATCCAGATGTTTGTCAAAATTAGAAATAAGCTCTTGTGAAGAGAAGTTCAATTTCCCTTTTTGGCATAATGTGTCGCCTGTTGATGGGAAAAATATGTGAAAGTAATGTACATGTTATTACTTTAACCAAATTATTATTTGGAAGGAGAAAGTTCTTATAATAATCTACGAGTGAGGAATAGTTTGGATTAAGGTTCAAATTAGAGCTGTTTTCTAGAGTTACTAAAACCTTCATTCTATTAATCAATTTTATAACTCTGTTAGAATTCTCATATCAGTTCTAATGAATGTAAAAATTCCAGCTTAGGGTAGAGGATTTAGTTTGAAGTATAAAGTCACTGGCCAAGGAAACACAATGTAACTCCTTCTAATTGGAATGGCATCTAATCTGAAGAAGGCCTGTAAATCAAGCTGAAAACATTCAGTAGAACTATGAAGAAGTGCTGGAAATGTGTGAAAAGGTGTTTTTTTTTATATATAATATAAAAATTCCAGCTTAGGGTAGAAAATTTAGTTTGACTAAATTATGCTTGCAAAGATGTGATTTATTTATTTTTCATTTACTGAAAATTAATATGATAAGATGTTTAGATGCAAACTTTCAAACCTTATTTTGGTTAATAGTCAAAATAATAGTTCAACTATTAATAATGAACTATAATTTACAAATTAATAAATAAATGTAAAATATTATGATATGAACATACAATACAAACTGAATATTAGAAACTTCCAAATCTGAGAAAATAAAAGCTAGCAATTTGATGATATCTGTTGTCTAATGTTAAATAAAACTTTAAAACTATTGAGAATAAATTAAGTAAGAATTAGTTTCAGAAAGATTTTTCTAATTTTGTCAATAATAATTTTATTAAATTATTAATTTGATGAAAATTTAAAATATGTAAATCAAAAATCTTCATTATAGGAATAAATACTTTTTCATATATATTTTGCAGTAATATCCCCATTTTCAATTTAATTATTACATAACAAAACCAGAAAAATTTGGAAGATTTGTTTTGAGATGACTGAAAAAGAACATAAGAAGGCTGTTAAGAATGTACATAATTAAAATGAAGCCATAATAAAGATTTGGGTAGAGGTAGTATCAATTATTTACTTAAGTGCACCAATATATTACAAAAAATTATTATTCAGCAAACATATTTACCTCAGAAGAATTAAACACATCTGGTAACAAAAAATTTAATAAGGCCCACAATTCATGAAGATTGTTTTGCAGTGGAGTACCAGTTAATAACAGTCTGTTGGTTGATTTAAATTCTCTAACTATTTCAGAAAGCTGAAAACAAAAATAAAATAAACTGTAAAAAAATCATAGTATTGTGTCTAAGAAAATGAGTACTATTTTATAACAAAACGCTGTATTTGATATCAATTAATTACAGTAGAGCATCGATTATCCAACTCAATTGAGGACTGGGGTTGGTCGGATAACTGAAAAAACAGATAACCGAATAATATGAAAAATTACATTATTAGTATAGTATATTAGTATATCTCTTGTAATTAGTATATTACTATATAGCTATTAACCTACTTCACGTTGAATTTTCATCAATGTTAAGCCTAACAAAAATTTTTTTAAAATAATAATCGTCACTATTGTATCATTAAAAATTAGAAAATTAAGCCTTGTTTAAATACTGGCTCCCTTTCATGGTCGAGCCATGTTGCCAGCTAAAACATGTAAAAATACTATTAAAGTAACCAAGACAGCCAAATATTGTAGCGCCACATCACTAGCGGACATTTGAATTTGCCGACTAGAACAGTCGGCTAACCGATGTGACGGTTAATCAGGGGTCGGATAATCAATGCTCTACTGTAATTTGTTGAAAGTAAATTAATTCTTTAATTAAAAATAATGAACATGTTTTCATCTATGATTTTATTTTAAAATTTGCATATCTTAGAAATATATCATACTTGTAAAATATATCTATAAATAATACTCAAACATAATTATTAATTTAAACTTATTTTACAGCACACTTAGATTAATCTAACAATCTTTCAGTAAGCTTCTATAAATCTGTTCAACATTTGATATACTATATATACAAATATATAATGAATTCAATAAAAAAAAAATTACTCATTCAAAATTGCATTGTTGTATGCAAGAGACAATTATACAAAGTAACTAATAACTTTTGTAATTTAATAAAAATTTCATTATAATACTTACTTTAATACAAATTATACTAACATGGTTCATGTTTTAATAAATATATTACATATGAAAATTTTATTACCTGAGGAAAACCATTGCTTTAGTTAATAAAATTTATTGTATCCAAAGTCTAAGCAAAATCAAAGTTTAAATAATCTCAACATGACCAATACAGTATACATTTTCTTTCATAAACCACAGACTATAAACAATTTTTTTTTTTTAACTTAGTAACTAAAATATAATGTGCTGTAATATAATCATAACTCAATTTTACAATTATTCATGGTGATCTAGTGTCAAGACACTAGATCACCATGAATAATTGTAAAATTAAGTTATAAGTGATTTATAAATCATTCAGCAAATGCCAATAGCATTTTCAAAGCATATCAAACTCATCTAATTTATCATTATTTTATTATAAACCTTCTACTGATATATTTTTATATTAGAATCTTGAAAATCATCATCAATACCACAAATTCCCATTTAATGTCATTTCATTTAATATTGTTGAGAAAAGATACATTTGTAACCATCATTGTTGAATTTTCTTTATAAACAGTAAAATTGATTCTATGAGGTGAGAAATAAATACCAGAGGTTATAAACATGATCCAATTATATCTTGCTTATATAAATCAGTCTATAGTAAAATTAGTTTCACTATGTATCATTTTTCAATTAGCATTGCAGTTTCCAAAAACCTATCATCAACAATATTAAGTGAGAACTTGCTGTATTTAAATATTTAATATTTATTTCTGTTTATTAATCAATTGTTATAATTTTTTGAAAGATATTGATAAATATTCAATCACTGAGAGAGGAAAAAAGAATAGAAATAATTACAAATTTTCTTATTATTTTTATACACAAATACATACTCCTTATTCAGTCAACAATTCTCTTGTTTTTAAATAAAATAATTATTTACTGAAAACAAACTGAATTTTTCCTTTTTCTTTAATTCTATAAAAAATTAATCCAATAAATCATCAACTTTTGAGTCTTATATTAAAATATGCAGATAATTAGCCAATAAGAAAATTTCTATCAAATGGTAATGGCTAGATGGACAGCATAGCAAAGATACTTGCTGTCACTATAAATGATAAGTTTGAATCCAGATCAAATCCTCTAACTTTTTTTATAGATGTTCTGGTTCAGATATATTAGGATTTCACCCCCACCACACAGCTTATTTATGCCTTTTATGAGAAGATGCTCTTTACATGTCCAATTATATAGATATAATTTATCATCAATTTATCATGTTTAATCATATATTCATCAATTATTTAGATCAAGGGTGGGCAACCGTTTTTATAACATGGGCCAGAATAAATTTTATGTTTTTTCCGCAGGCCATAGTAGTTAATTGACACCTTCTTGTGACCTGTAATTTTTAGTCTGCAAATATGAAATAAATATATATATTACAAAAAAAGAAATTAATTACTACATTTATTTCTCTTATCGTTTTCGAAAATTACAAAGAATTGGAAAAATAACTATTAATCATAAACAATAAATATAAGTGTATAAATGAAAAAAGTATTTATTTAATGTGACATCTGGTGCTGCAAAGATTTTGTTAGCATTTCAATATCTGGTTCAATTTGTATGGTGCTTAAACGCAAGTTGTTTTCCAAATGCATATCGGTTATTTTGGTTCTGTACTTTGATTTCAAGTACTTCATCTTGGAGAACAGCTGTTCACATTGGTATGTTGAGCCAAATAAAGAGTAAATATATTTCGCATTATCAAATAAATTTGGAAATTCTTCAGTCGTCAGATTTCTATAAAACTCATGGACAGGTGTAAAATTAAAATTTTCTTATAAACCTATCCTCTTTTTGAGATACAATAATTCTGTTTGAAATTTCTCTGGAACAGTTTTGATTTCAGTGATGGATATGGGCGAGTTAAATAACTGAAAATAAATATTTTTCTTGTCAAAATCTTGAAAATGTTGATCAAATTCTGAATAAAGATCTTTGGTATTTTTAACAAAAAATTGAAGATTATATTTGTCACTATAATTAGATAATGGTGGAAAATGAAAAAGATTATTTTTCTCTATATGGGATTGCCACGAATGGAGTTTACTTCTAAAAGCTTTAATATGTCCACATAATTGTGTCACATCTTGATTTTACTTTTGTAAGGCTTCATTTAAAACATTCAAGTGTCCTGTAATATCAACAAAGAATGCCAGGTCTTACAACCACTTCTCATCATTTAATGCTTCAATGGAATTCCTTTCATATCCATGAATAGTTTAATTTCGTGTTTCAAATTATAAAATTTGCTTAATACGGTTGCTCTCGTGAGCCAATGGACTGGACAATAATATTGAACATCTGTATATTCATTTTCAAGATCAATTAGCAATTCTCAAAATTCTCGATGACTTAGTGCTGATTTTTTTATTGTGTTTTTGTAGTTGGATATGACAGACATTACATTTTCTAATTGCATAGCTTTTGCACATAGATTTTCTTGATGGATGATGCAATGAGATATAAATAATTTAGAAAAATTCTGTTCTCCCATTTTTTGTTTAAATAAGGAAATGGCGCCCTTATTTTTTCCTGTCATTGCTGCCGCCATACTTCAGAGAATAATATTCAATTTAAACTAGATGAATTACATCAAAAAATATTTATTTATAATTTCTTCTAAAGATCTCGTGAGCTGAATAGAGCGAATAGTTTTTACAGGCCATATTGGCCCGTGGGTTGCCCACCATTGATTTAGATCATAAAATTTAAAAATTAAATTTAAGCTTGAGGACTAGTAATTTACATTATGGTATGCAAGAGACTATAAATATGTAGTAATAAAAAGAGATAGAGAGAGAGAGAGAGAAGCTTTTCTTTGCTTGTCTTGAATTCTTAATTATAAAGTAAATTAATGTACTTTATAAATTCTTTGAAACAGACATTTTAACATATATTTGCTAAGTAAGAATTAAATTCTATTCTCAGCCTCCCATTTTTCTATTCTTGCAAAATCAATCCATCCCTGTTGTTTTTCATAGTATTGCAAAGTTTGCATTTATTCACTTTCAGATTACACTTTACAGATTAGCCTGAAGATGAATAAATGAAATAAATTTTTATAACAAGCTATATAACAAGTAATGTAAGGATATAACACATTACATAATATTCAAAGTTTGAATACAATTTACAAATAATAATAAATTAACTTCAAAAAAAATTATTTTTATAAGTAATTTAAATCAACATTTTGATATTAATGATTAGTAATAATAAATTGTAATGAAAATGCTTACCTTGGATTTTTCATTTTTAATACGATGAGCTTCATCAATAACTAGATATCTCCAATTAAATTTCTTCAATACTGCTTTTTCTCTAATAACCATTTCATAGGATGTCACACAAACATCCCATTCACCAGGCATTAAAGTATCTCTAATAAATATGGCCTAAAATTGAAGATACAATTTAATTTGTTAGATATATATTTTTTTAATTATAGCTTTTTAATAATTTATAAATAAAATTATTTTAATATTTAAAAAAATTACACTTACTCTTTTTTCCTGATCACCAATAAAGCAAACAGCTTTTAAAGATGGACACCATCGTGTAAATTCATTTGCCCAATTACTTAAAGTAGATTTGGGCACAATAACCATATGAGGACCAGGAGTGTTACGATAATGTTTCATATAACCCAATAAAGATATTGTTTGTAATGTTTTACCTAAACCCTAAAATATATTTAATAATTTAAGATAATATATTAATATATATCCAGGAAAATCTTTAATACAAGATTTGAAACATTTTATGCTAATATTTACCATCTCATCAGCTAATATGCCATTAATTCCATGTTCATACAAAGAGATCATCCAATTTAATCCTCGAACTTGGTAATCTCTAAGTTCACCATTTTTTATATCTGAAAAATTTAAATAGCAAAATTATTCTGAAAACAAATACTTTTATAAAATAAAAACTTTTATTTATCATATAAAAAATTAACATAAGGTTTTTAACAAGTAAGTAAAATTTAACGAAAGTTCTAAAATTGTTGAGCGTTTGAAATATTGAATACTTTACATTCAAAATTCCGGAATCGGAAGGTGGTAATTAAAACTGCTGAAAAATTTTGCTCTGCATTAAAAATAAATCTTAATTAATCTATTGCTACAATCTCATATATTTATTTATATTTACATTAATTTTATGACAAATTATGGTATCCAAATTCTTTCTACAATCAAAATATGCCACAATTTCTCAAACTATAACATGCTGATTCTCTGATGAGAAGCATTAAGTCTATTTTTGTTGATTTTATTAGAAACATCTGCAGACAACTGCTACAAGACTGACCTATAATGTGCTTTATCATCTTTGTTTAACTTATCATTTGATTATCTGACACTAAAACACTCACGAAAACTTCAAACACACATTTTAAGTTTCTGATGAATATAAAGTACAAATTTTCTTTTAACAATGTATTCAATAAATGTACACACTCAAAATGAAATGACATTGTCCTCAACTTACTCAAATCATATTGTTACAATATGGCTGATGCAAGTGACTTATTTCAAATTGCAGAGTATGATGATAGTTGTCAATACCAGAAATATTTATATATCATACATTGTTTTGTTGCCAATGGTTTAGTCATATGATGATGTTGGCCATTACTCTTTGCACTGATACAGTGAGTGGAATGGTTAACTAACAACTTGAATGATTTGTACATGTCTGCTTTTACCACAGCATGGAGAATGGATATCACAATCTGTTTGGATGCCTTCAGTGTCTTGAAAGTTTTCTTTTCAGCTGTAATTTCAATTTCAGAAATACAATATAGCTGTTAAGGGACATCTGAAGAATACTATGGAAGACTGAATGAAATGACTTGTGTGACATTACCAACCAAATCAGCAGTTACACTTAATACTTCGTAGTTCAATCAGTACATTTATTTAATCAGACTAAAATTTTAATTACTATAAACTGTTTACTGATTATTTAACCCCTTCTGAGCCGCGCTCGAGTGTGACTCGAGCAAGTTTTATAGCATTACGTCGTTAAGGCCACTTTTGAAAAAATTATTTTTTTTGAATTTTTGGAATGTTTTTTAGGTCCCCAAATTTTTTCAGAATTTTTTGCGCACGCGAAAAAATTTTATCGCGATTTTAATGAGCCTTTGATAAGGCTCAATGAAGGCTTAATGTTTTTTTAATGGGAGTTTTTTATCAAAATTAATTTATCATTCTAAAGTTGTAGCGCACCGATTTTCCTTCGGTAAAGTTATTTAAAGCTGCTTTCTGATGTCAAAAACGACTTCCGATAGTTTTTTAATTTTTTTAATTAATAGATTTTATTATATAGAAGTTTAATTAATTAGGGGGGTCGGAAATCGCAATAAAAATTATAATTTTTTTAAAATATTTAAAAATATACTGCCAGATTGAAGTCACCCTACTTTAAACCCTTGTCCTCCCACGATGTCTATGAGAATGTCCCGGGAAATCCGACTCCAGCTGTGTTCAAGGTGTGTAAACAATAACTCATCCATGTGTAAACAATAACTCATCGGTGTTAAATTTCGCAGAAAGGCCAGACAAAAAAACTTAGACTTTGAAGCTTTTTCTTCAAAATTAACGCATTTCTTTCGTTTTTTTTTTTCAGTTTTAAGTATTTTTTATGCTTAATTAAAAATTCTAAAAAAAATGGGCGGCTTAAAAGGGGTTAATTATTATTAGTCACAATAAAAATAATGAACTCCAAAAGTAATTTTAGATATTTCATTTAATTCAATAATTTTAAATATAAAAAAATTAGTACCATATACAGAGTGGTTAGAATTAAATTGATGGTACTCAGACATGCATGGAATGGGCTCAACTGAACCAAACAAAACTTGGTACACATTCAATGCAGATAATAGGGAAGATATTTATAAAAAGGGGAAAAAACATCAGTTAAAATTTTCATAACCAGGGAAAAATATGGCACTGCAAGAATAACAATTATAATATAAGGGGACAAAATTTTATTAGAAGTATAAAATTACATTTTACACATTTACAATATGTGCTCAATGTAGGATCCTTCTCTGTCAACTACTTGTTCTAATCTTAAAACAGCATTATAAACTGCCTCATGTAACATTTCAAGAGGAATCTAGGAGACATGTCACATTGATGGTCTTCAGCTCTGACACAGAAAGCATACATTCTTGATAAACATAATCTTTCAAATTGCAAGCCCACAGCCAGAAACACATGTTTTAAGTGAACAGCATCACATTTTCCCCTGGTGGTGAAAATTTCAACTATTTTCACCACCAGGGGAAAATGTGATGTTGTTTCAATTATTTTCACCCATGATCTGCATTACATGTGTCATTCAGTATATGTCATGTCTTTCATTCAGTAGAGCTGGCTCCACGTGTCTGAGTACCATTATTCAAACCACCTTGTGTATTTAATAATAACTTATAAATATATTAGATGTGGAGAGATTTACTTAAATATTAAATCATGCATGTCTTGCAATTCTGAAAATATGAACATTTATATTAAAGTGATTATGTATTTAAAATGATTTATATTAATTACTATATATGTATTCAATTAACAAAATAAACAGAAAAAAATATGATCCTAAAATCTATTCCTTCAAATAAATTTCAGATGAATTCAAGTAACAAGATCTTTCAAAAATTTCTTACAAAATAAAATTTAATGTATAAAAATGATATTTACATGATGGGGATTCTTCAAAACGAGTCACTAACATAAGATTTTTACGACTTTCGGAAAGTAATTCTTCATCTTCTTCTTGCTCAGTCATTCGATGTCGATGACTAAAATAAAAGACAAAATATTTATGTTTAGTTTTATATTTATGTAGATTAAAACTTCAAATTTGTCTTTTTTAAAATTGTCATTATGAAAAATATAAACAACATTAAAATAATTTTAATTCAAAATTATCTGAAAAATAATTTGGTGATGACTTGGATTATCTCTATAGTTATTTTTTAACCTGATGTTGGTAGTCATTGAAAGTTGTAGTAGGCACAATGCAATTGTTAAGGGCTACACCACTGCATTAATTTCAATTGAGGAATCATATTATTAGATCAATTAGTCAGTTGTACAAAGTATAACTGACTAACTATACAATTGACTAATTTGGTTGTACAAAGTACAATTAACTAATTCAATTGACTTTGTACAAATACAAAAGAAATTTCACAGGATTTTATCCTTTATTTCAACTATTACATGATAAGAAATAAAACAATAAGCTTTGTGATAAAAACTGAAATTATTCTGAAGACCTTAGTGTTGTAATAAAACATTTCACATCTGCCTAAATATCTTTTAAAGGAAAGCAAAGTCTATTTTAATGTTTTTAGTATTGATTCTGATAATAGAAAATTTCTGGAGCCAACACAAAATGCACAAAACTATCATGTGAAAGCATTATATTGATGCCTAATTTGGTTTTTAATTTTTAAAGAATAATTTAAAATGCTTTTTAATTTTTAAATAAAAATTTAAATTTATTAAATTTAATTTTAATTAAAAAAAATATATAATTATNTTTAATTATATAAATTATATTTTTATAATTTGTGAACTAAATATAATGATTGTGTCGAAAACCTGGGAATATTTTTAATCATATTTTACATACTGAGACAGAAGTGCAGCCTAAAAAGAAGGTCGACTCTGCCATAAAGACAGTTAGTTCCCGAAGTGTGAAAGGGACGTAAAGATTTAAAAGAAGACAATGATACTTATACACATTTAATTTGTAATGTATGAATTTCATCCTGGCATGTTGTATATAATTATATTTTTTAATTTAAAAACTATTTAGTTTAAGTTAAAAAATGAAACTTCAAACTCTTGACTTTTACTTTGAGTTTTAAAAAATGTAGCTTTTTTTTTTTTGGTATTCTTATCCCAACTATAATAGATTAAGAAATAATTGCTCTCATTCTCATCTACTGCACATTTGTATCTAAGAAAACAATAATTCAAACTTTCCTGAAAACTACTCTTGTAATTAAAGAACAGTACTACTGCTTAGACCTTCAAAGTCCAGTAAAATTGTTTAATTCTTAAGCATTTTCAGTCTGACCTGATACTGGCTGGGTGGTAACCCTAACGTCACCTTATCTCCCTAAAATGGAGACAGTTAGTATCAATCAAGTGCAATTTCTCATTTCTCTGACTACACAAAAGAAGTCTGCCATGACAAACATCTTGTGTATGGGGTGTCATGTTCTCTCTGCTTTGTAAATGTAAAAGTTTCCAATAAACTAGAAAGTAAACTAAGTTATGTTTAGTTAACAAACGTAAGACCATAGTATAAAAAGAAAAACAGTTGTACTTGGCCCAACTATACTTCGATAAACAGTGTGGTGCAAAAATCCTATACCAATAATTGGGTAAAATAAGATACATCGCCAACAAAAAAGTGTATGAAATCAGAAGAAAACTCAATAAGAAATTTTATTGGCTATGAGAAACTTCCCGCCGAAAGCAAATTAGAAAAATAGAAATTCAGTATTACAACTTCACAGCCTTAAATGTGCCATCCAATAAACTAATACTTAATTGATAATGTCATAATTTTAAAAATTTTTAATCTTTGAATGAACAAATAATTAATTTTCTTATTAAATGTAGAAAAATTGTTTTAAAAATTGGAATTTGTAACCAGATTTGCTTGATTCTGATTACTGGAAAATGCCCAATTTTTCTGATTCTTAATTCCAATTAATCATCCTATCACTAATGATTGCTCTATGTTTACTTTAGAAATATATTACATTTATTTTATTTTTAACATTGGTATTTGTAAATATATCACTGCTTTTTGTTGATAGTGGTATAATTTAAAAAATGTTAATTTTAAAAGGGTATCATTTAAAAATTCAAATTGACTAGCATTTGAATACAAGTTGACAATACATCTGATCTCTAATGGGAATCCAATGGAAATACAAATATGCTATTTTACATAATAAACATACTCTACCTAAGTTTATTTATGCAAAAACAAGCAAAATCAGTTTTTTTTAGTTGTGTCATTTTCAAGCAAAGCAGAATATCATATGCTACTTTTGTTATACATTATGCATGTTAATGGAAGATGACAAAAAATGCTCAAAGTATTAATTATTGTATCATAACAGAATAATTTTCTTTTATTACTTTTGACAATGCATTATACAGGCAAAATTACATAGTCATAAGACCATACCATAAGACAACGATGGCCATCCAAAAAGAACAATAAATAACAAACCTGATATAAAAGAGCAAAAAAAAAAAAAAATTAAAATAATAAAGCTAAAAAGAAAAAATATAATTGATGGTGGCCTAACACATCAGAAATGTGCAGCTGTCCAGATTACCAGCTATGCGAACAAGAGGTGACCAGGATGTGTATACTCAATGGCACCCCATACCATCACTGCTGGGTCCACAAGATGATGATGAATGCAAATTGGCAATGATCATTCCATTTGATGCCTCCACATAAGGATATGGCCATCATTATGCTTTACACAGAACCAGGTTTCGTCTGAAAAGACAACATGATACCACTCCAGCAATATTCATCATTAAATGCACCACTGTAGGCATGCCTAACTCTGATGCAGCATCAAGGAAAGCCACAGCAATGGTCACCACGCTGATTATTCATGATCTACAGATGTCGCACTGTCTGTGCAGACACTTGTTATGAAAATGACCTGAGTTCCTGACTCAGTATATGATGCGGCTGTACAATCCTGCAAGGTCATGTGGAAAACCATCTGCAGAGACTGCTGAGATCCCACATAGTGTTCTATATCGTCCTCTGGACCCATCAATTCCATATTCTCATGACAGTTGTGGGATCATGACCAACATGAGCAGAAATAGCGTGGAATGATAAACTGCAGTCACAATAGGCTACAACACTTCTACCACAATCAAACTCTGACATATACTGGTAGGTATTCCTCCTCCTTACATAAGGCATAACAACACCTTTATGTAAGCAACCAATGTGCGAATGTAATTTCCATATGAGAAACCAGGGGCCATATTCTAGTCACTTAATCTCTCATCTCTTCTTTCAAGGAAGAATGATGTCATTATGTTTTTGTTTTATAACGTTTTTACAGATTGTAATGTCAATTTGTCTCTTAACATATAAAAATTTTAATAACCTAAGTTAGAAAAGTGTGCGTACTTACATATTTTTCAAAATATTATCTAATTTCTCCGTAACTATCTAAATAAGCTTAACATCATATCCATTAGTTCAGTAATTGATGTAGGATAATTAAAAAAAAAATGGAATCAGTGACATTTCCGAGTAGGCATTCGAAAAAAATCAAAAGCATTTTCTCTCTCGAAATATTCTATAATGAGATAAAAAGTGTTCTTAATCCAATTGTACAGCGCAGTAGCATCTAGTTGTCCATACTGGATATAACAAAATCAAGGCAAAAGATGAAAGACAGGTCAAAAGACAACTATCCACTTGTCTCTGAGAAACGAGAGAAAAAGTTGTCCAGAATCGTGTTTGGAGAGACATGATCTCTCGAGACATAAACAAATGATTAGCCAATCAGAGATTAGCTTGTGAGAGACAAGAGACAATGACCAAAATACGGTCCCTGCTTTACAATCTTTCCTTTTATACAGATTGTAGGTGGCCTTATTCCTACCTACTTTGAGAGCATGTGTTGAAATGTTATTCATTTGCATATCCCAGCATGTTATACCTTTCATGCAAATTTTGTTTGCTGCATGCTGCCTTCATGGTATAGCAATTTTAATGGCCAATGGTATATTTATTATGGCAATATCACAATGCTGGGCTGCAATTTTTAATCATATTTTTCATTTATTCAAGTTAAAATCTGTGCTCTCCACCTCAAATTAGTAGTGTCTTGGCCCTGTACATCATACTTTTCCTGTTATCAATAGATTTATGCCAATCATCTATCCAACTCCTTTCAGGAAAAATTTTTGAATTGAAATAATGTCACTTCCAGTGCAAACCAGAAGTTCACACATAGTTGATTGAGGCCTCCTTAAGCTTTCCATATCTGGTCTTGTCTTTCATCTATCTNGAATTTAATTGAGTTGATAAGATTTTGTATGCTATAGATTTATTTAGTATCGAGTTCGGATAATTGTTTGCTGATTATGTAACGAAATATGCGGATTATTCACCTTAATTTTGCTTTAAATTCGAAAATAAATCTGATGTTATTCAATGAAATTAATTTTAGATATTATATAAATGTATAAAATTATTTGAGCTTTGAATCGAACTTAATTCATTTATAAAATATCTCTATAACTTAACGAGCAATTATTTATTTATTGTGACATCGTTACAATGCCGGGCTGTAATTTTTAATTAATTTAAAATATATGCTCTCGATCTCAAATTAGTAGTGTCTTGCTCCTGTACGTCAGTCATCTATCTAACTCCGTTCTAGTGAAAATTTTTGAATTGAAATCACGTGATTTCAGCTCTATGTCGAAAATTAGTATGCGGTTAATCGGGCCTTCTGCTCCTGATCTTTCCATATCTGGTCTTGTCTTTCATCTATCTAACTCTGTTCTCAAGAGAAAGGACAGATAGACAGACAGACAATAGTGGAAATTTATACATCTACAATTATTTCAAATTGCAGCCAAAAAAAAAAAAAAAAAAGCAGGTTCACATGGCAGTTATAGTACCTAGGTCACATGCACTATCTGGAAGCCACCACTCCCATTCATTGTCAATGACACAATGTGTATTTTTTAGTTTATGTGGTTCCTGTGCTTTATAGGAAGTTTCTGATTAGTTTATTTGAAAGATGAATGTTTTATTTAACAGAAAATTCCAGTGTGTTTATGAAAATACTGTATCAAAACCTCATTCAAATTAAACAGTTTGGCAAATTTAAGTTTATCAGTTTGATTTAACATGTAAATACCTGTGCAAGACAATTAGGGAAAGAAATTAACTTCAAGCAAATGCAACTTCTAATGTTTCCAGTTCAAGTTCTAATATATATATAAACTTCAAAATACAAAATAATGATGATAAATTATAAAATGACATACTCTCCCATTGCTGAAAGTTTAGCTTTTTCATCATTTTTCTTCAATTTCGGTCTCCCAGGTTTCAATTTCAATGGAGAATCTCCATTATTACCACTAGTACCACTTGTCATAAAATGTGAAAAAATTTCAGTTTGTTGAAGAAGAAAGTCAAATCTTCTCCCTCGGTCCATTTCCTTAAAAAAATTTCAGAAGTTAGAAATTATTATAAAGTTGTAAAAATTGGATGCCAAACATAAATCTACAATTATTTGAAAATAATTTATTTTATTTGTATAAGAATTTAGTTTTATTGGAATGTTGAATAAATTAAGTTTCTTAACTAGATAACAATATATACTATTAAAAAAAATATTTTCATATATATGCATCTCCAGAAATGGAAATCCTGACACTGAGAAGGAGTTATACTAGGTGAATGAAAATTACACAAAACATCTAATATGATTTATTATATTGATACAAGTTTCAAGATCACAACTCACAGGATACAAGTACAGTACAGTGTCATAGCAAATGCAAATTAAAAGTTTCCAATAGACGTATATGGAGCTGTTCATATGCAATAGTGTCACTGTAAAAAGCTATGGTGATAATAGCTGCATATAAAGAATGCCTCAAAGGTGACAACAAATTGCACATCAGCAATTAACCCAAGTTTGAACATGATTGCTTAATTCAAACTTAAACTTTTTGCAACTTGTTACCAGCAAAATAACTCATTTAAGAAGTCATTTGTTTGAAAAAAAGCTGTCATAAGCTCTTTCTTAACTTTCCTGCCACTTGGACAGCAAAGAAAACCAATTAGAAAATCCAATAATTTTCAATTATACTAAGATATAAAATTTAAACAACACAAAAACTTAAAAGGAATAATTTTGTTGAATTATGAAAATTTTCTCTATTTTAAAATATTCAAGTTTAAAAAACATACACATTAGTTCAAAGTAAAAATTGTGAGAGTGCCATCTGTTATGAGATTTTATTAGAAAATAATTCTTATATTATTATTTATTATAAAAAAAGGCAAAAAGCTTATATTTCGGGATAGCATTCTTAAAGAAACTGTAAATACCAAATAACAAGTAAAACTTTCATTGTCTGATCCTCTTTGGATATAACAAGACCATCATTCTACCTCTCCACTCCTTTGACCACCAAAAGTTCAATAGCATCAATCTCCAGATACACAAGCCTCTCTGCAAAATTTTAGAAATTTTTGACAAAAGGAACAGGAGTTATTAAGCTTCAAAATGAATGAATAAAATTGTGCCATGGACCCAAATATCCATACATACAGAAAACATCTGATTTTTGCATTTGTGTCGAGATGTTTCAAGGTCCTAAATCAAAGAATGTAAAAATCTTTAGGGAGTCATTTTTCTGACTGATTGCCATAGTTTCCTTCTGTTGTATATTACAACTAGAAGGGTAATTAAGTTACTAACATGGCATGCTTTCACACAAATTTCAAATGCTTATATCTAGAAATGTGATCATTGTCAAATATCCAAAAAAATTTTTTACTAATAAGTTTTTCAGAATTGTTTATTCCAGCAAAAGTACTCTCTAAATACTGAATTTCCTAATTCAAAAAAGTTAAAGGTTCTCATTAAATCTGTTTCATAAAAATTCTGGTAGTGTCATGTTAATAGAATAGATAGCTCAACTGTAAATTTTTATTAGAAATCTAACAATTTTCCAATGTCTAATAAAATAAGAAAATGCTTTCTCATTCTACAGAAATATCATCATTGACACTGTTTTGGTTTCACTGCAAACACTAAAACTAAACTAAAACAGATGGTTGATTAATTAATGCTTCTAGTCCTTTAAATATTAATGCATTTATATGAGTCTATTGTGACTATTATTAATAGGACTTATTGTATCATTTAACTTGCAGATGAAATTAGAGAGATTGAATGTCTCTTGGTTCAAAAGAATAAACTTTTATTTGCACTTGTATTAAGCAATATATATTTGGAGTTTTATCCTTCAAGAAAGGGGAAAAACTTGAAATACTTAAGTTAGGCATAAGTTATGAATAAGTTGTCTAAAGTATATGAATTAATTATGTAATTGGACTGCAATTTGAAAAAATTGTAGACCTATAAATTCCCACTGTCATCCGTCTGTCGGTCTTTCCTTAATTTCAAGAACAATGTTAGATAAATGAAATTCAAGACCAGATATGGAAACCTTAGGGGCAGGAGGCCCCAATTAACTATATATGAACTTCTGATGAAAACTGAAAATCACATTATTTCAATTCAAAAATTTTCTCCTGAAAGGAGTTAGATAAATGACTGGCACAACTCCATTGCTAATGGAAAAATATGATGTACAGAGGCAAGACACTAAAGTACTAATTTGAAGTGGAGACCATATATTTTAAATTGAGTAATTTAAAAATATGATTAAAAATTGCAGCCCAGCATTGTGACAATGTCACAATAAACAATTGCTTCTTATGGTGTAAAATTTTATTATTTAAAAACTTTTTTGTATAATTAGAAATTTGATTTTTCCAGTCGGTAGATTCTGTATTTGGTTCTGCATTTCCTTGTAGTCTTCTTATTTGTCATTTTAATATGAATAATTTTTCAGTTTTGAATTTTATTGTAGCTTTTATTATTTGCCTCTCGATCTCCCATATATCTCTATGTTGTATGTNCTGACCAACACTAACAGACTACCTATTGTTTAAAAGGCCTTCTGGTGGTGCAAGAAGACGGATTTTATAAAATAAAAAACAGTTGAAACTGCATTTTTATGAATAAAAATTTGACAAACTATTTATCATTTTATGACGAGTAAAATTTTTTTGTCGCGTTCGCAGCTTTTAAGTAATGCATAAACCTTCAAAACGTGAGGCCCTTCAGACCGCAAGGCATAGGCGATGGCCCACGTTGCCCATGCCTTACGCCGCCCTTGGTCATAGAAATGATGTAATTTGAAAATAAAATTTTTTATAAATATGTATGTCAAGTTATATTTTTATTACGATGCAAAATATATTTAAGAGTTTACGGCCATTGTGCCAGGTGAGACGTTGTTGAAACAAAAAAATTATGCATTCCATCACATACATAAACAGTATCGTAATTCGTCAAGTGCAGCAAATTCGTAAAATTTTTGTTTATTTTGAACAATCCAGATAATAGAGGTCCGGATAATTAAGGTTCTACTGTATATATAAATTTCAGTTCTGATCATGCTTTTCATTTGAAAATATCACTACTGGTAAATAGTGAGATTTAATATATTTATCTTGAAAAATTTTCAAATATTAAGACTATATTTATTAATCTTTTTGTGTGTTCTTCAATCTTAAAGACATGTATTCAAAATATCAGAATAGAATTTCATATTTTTGAATCTATTAAGTCATATTTGCAATGGAAATCTCAATATACAGTCAACTCACATTAATATGAATTGCTAGTGGAGCTTTATCAAAACTTTAATGATTTTAGGGGTCACGGTCGTATAATTTAGAGTTAAGGATTAACAGGCAATCAATATCTCTAAATTATAATATTTTGAATTAATTTACTAAATAAAGTTTAATTTAACTTTATTTACAAAAGTTAATTAATAATCTAAATGATTTTCAAACAAAACAAAATGAGGAGACATATTTGCTGTTTAAGTATGGAGCAGTATATCAGAGTGTTAAGCAAAACAAAGCTAAAAGAAATCCATGATTGCTTTCTGTTAAAGCTTATTTGAAAAAATAGAAAGTACTTTTTGTCACCAAAAGAGTAAAAAAAGGGGCCAAACTTAGCATCACTTTATGCATCTCCAAATATGCAAACTAGCATGTGTTTGCATAGGATTGCATCCATTTAAAGGGGTAAATGTTTTTAAACTTTAATCCCTATTTTCTAAGTACAGTAGAATGGTTCGTTAAAACCAGATGTTTGAATTGCTCTACAATCAGAGGTGAACCCCATCTTTGATTACTAGGAGAAGAAAATCTAATCTACTCAAAACAGAATATTTATTTTACTTTGCTTTTTACACTTTGAAATGAATAACAAAATCATTATTGAAAATAGGGTTATAACTTGGGGTTGTGAAGATACTTTACTTTGGTTTGGTTTAACAAATTCTGGTAAAAGTTTTGTTTGCTTAATCATGTGAAAATTAATGCTGTGACAATGGCATTTTGTCAAGGTAACAGCAAAACTCACTTTATTGGTATTCGTTTTAAAGTGAGTCAACTGCATTAAATTTGCTGATTTTTTTATATTAAAATTCAGTAAATGCATATAAAACTTTCATTTTTAAATAATTCTTTTTAAATTTAAATTAATTCTTTTTAAATTTTCCTCTCTCTAAATAGAAAAAATTATCAGCAGGCATTTGATAAGCACTATAGTATTTATCCTTTCAACAATAAAAATCTGATTAGTTTTAAATTGTAAAAAAAATAATTATTGTTTTATTTTATAACATTTTTTTTTAATTCTCAAGTAATTAATTAATTTTAAATGAATTTTTTTTTATTGCAAATAAAACATCCTGATAGGAAATAAAGTACACTTGTGATTTAGTATTTATATGAAAAATAATCTAAACAATTCCATACCTGATAATAAGCTATTTATATCAATATAATTTCCAACTTGGAATAACGCCAACATTATAAGATTGTAACTGTGCAGAAAATTCAAATCCAAGAAGAGACATTTTTTGTAATACAAACTGTACTTAAGAAACATTAAGATAAAAAATATTTAGATTCTGGTGATCATTTTTATTCCAAAAGCTTAAACATCAAAATAAAAATTATGAAATATTATTTCATTATTTTTTTTGATATTTTTCTCTCCTTCAGTGATTGATTCACACACTGAAGATGATCAAAAATATTCATTTCCTTATTAAATATATTATTGATATATATATGTTGATTATCCTAACATACTTGAAACAAACAGTTATTCCATACTGCTTGTTATTAAGATTACAATATTGAATAAGTACTCAGCATTGTCCAATAAAATGTAATAATAATGATAACACTTGAAGCCAAATGAATGCTGAATTATATCGGGCTATATTAATGCTACTGTTAATAATTAAATGTTAAGTAATTTAGACTAGAGGTACACATTAGACACTATCTCATCTCCTTCAAGAACCTCCTAAATTAATTAATAAAATATTAATTTAATTAAAATTATT